AAAGTGCTGACGATGCCAAACTGTGCTAACATGCCCCTTCAGGCTGATTCCTCTAAAACATGTTAGTACCATAGGAATCACAGACACTCAACCAAGGAATTCACTACACTAAGGGACAAAATTGAAGATCTCATCAAGCAAGGAAACCTCAAGAGTTGCATTCTCCATCAACAACCTTCTCATAGTCATTCTCAAATAAATCACAAAGAAGAAGATTGGGGGCATAACAATGATTAAAGAGAGCATGATCTCAGTCGCTCTAGGGAAAGGAGAGATGACATCTAAACTAAGACTTGGGATTTGCCAAGAAGGGTTATAAACACTATAGCTAGAGGGCTCCTTAGTGGAGGCGCAACATCACCAACCTAAAATGGATACTTGTGGGCTGTTAAAATCGTACACATGGTAGAAACTAAGAGGTTGCCAAGGATGTTGGCAATCACATTCACTAACAGAGATTTCCAAGGTTTGGATTTAAAGTAAGATGACCCAATGGTGATTAGTGTGGAAATTAGCAACTGTATCATCTAAGAAGCTCTTATTGACCAGGGCAACTTAGTTGATATTCTATACTGAAATACTTTTAAGCAAATGGATATTCCCAAGATCGACTCCCTACCTTACAGCGAACCACTAGTTGGGTTCTTGAGGGAAAGGGTCACAACTCTGGAGGGCATAGACCTCAACACTTGTTTAGTGAATAACCAGGTAGAGTCGTGAACAATTAAAGTCAAGTAAATAGTGGTGCATGCTAACACGTTGTATAACATATCATTAGGATGATTATTAATCAACACATTGCCATTATCTCCATGCCTCATGTAGTTATGAAATTACCTTACCAAAATAGGGGATGTAGTTAACTTCCTTTTTAACTCTTGAAAACTTGCCTTACAAGCGTTCGTCCAGACAAAAGGCTGATCTTTCTTTGTCAACTGGGTCAATGACTTCACTATCTAAGAGAACCCTTTATGAATTGCTAATAGTAACCCACCAACCCCATAAAGCTTTGAATCTCAATAACAGTCTGAGGTCGTTTCCATTGTAGCACCATTTCAACCTTAGTCGAGTCCATTACAACTCCTTCAAAGGAAATTACATAACCCAAAAATCCCACCTTCTCCAGCCAAAACTCACACTTAGAGAGTTTGGCAAACATCTCAGGATCTCCAACACCAATCTCAAATGCTCCTTGTGTTCCTCCTTAGAACCAGAATAGATGAGAATGTAGTCTACGAAAACAACAACAAACTTATCCAAAAATGGTCTAAAGATTCGGTTCATGTACTCCATGAAAATCGTAGGGGCATTTGTCATACCAAAAAACATTACCATATACTCGTAGTGCCCATACCTAGTTTTGAAGACGGTCTTGGATATGTCGTTATCCTTCACTCTAATTTGGTGGTAACTTAGCCTCAGGTCGATCTTAGAGAACACAAACGCTTCCCTTAGTTGATTCATTAAGTCATCTATTCAGGGTAGAGGATATATGTTCGTAATGGTTAACTTGTTCAATTGCCGGTAGTCCACACATAACCTTGAACTGCCATTTTTCTTGTTAACTAACAAAACTGGAGCACCCCACGGAGACACACTTGGTCTAATCATCTATTTCTCTAAGAGTTCTTCCACTTACTTATTCAATTCTACTATCTTTGCTAGATCCATTCAATATGGAGCGATTGATATTGGCCTTGAACCTAGCACCAGATCAATACCAAACTTCACATTTTTATTGTCATTTTTTTATTTCTAAAGAATAATTTATTCATGTATTGCATGAGTACATATTAATTTCAAATAAACTAGTTTTTACTTTAAAAAATGAATTCCATTTTTTATTTAGCCAAATTTAAACCATGGTGAGTTTAACTTGCCTAACTATTTTTTTATAAAGAAATATAACTATTTTTCATTAATTTAAAATAAATTGGTTTTTACTAAAAAAAATGAATTCTATTTTTTATTTAGCTAAATTTAAACCATGGTGAGCTTCACTTGTCTCATTGGATCAATTTTTACAAAGATAAAATGATATTTTTCAGTCATGACTCCATATCTAAGGCAGGGATTGAATTTTGATCCTTAGCTAAAGAGTACAAAGGTCAAATCACTCAAGTTAATGACTTCTGATACACGTATACATATATATATATATATATATATATATTCTATTATATTTTATTTTCACTTCATTTTTTCTTTTCTTTTCCTATTACATTGTTAATATATATGTTTTTCTTTTTATGAGTTTCTTTCTTCTACCTTAATCCCACGGTCCATGTTTATTTTTTTTCTTTTAAAAAAATAAGGCATTAAAGAAAAAGTAAAGATAGTAAAAGATATTTTCAACCTTAAATTTGGATCGAGTATTAATTAGAGTTGACCATGTGATGATAACAATTAAATGTCTATGTGAACTAGTATTAATTGAGTTATTCATCAATTATTTAGAGTTTTTTTTATAAGCATGTTATTGTTATATACTATTTATAGATTTTGTTGATGATTAAACTCTATAAAAAGATTTGACTGACCATTTTTAGCAGGAATTTCCTTTCTAATCATGTTTTTTTTCATACATAAGACTCAAATATGAGACTTACTTAAGAGAATTGAGTCTAGTATCACTCAAACTAACTACTTGTTGGTTCGATTATTTAGAGTTGACTTGATAAAATGATGAATCAATTTTATCTGTTTAATTAACCAAGTTTTAAGCATGTAACTGTATATTCTTTTAATCCATCATATTACAATGACAATGGTTTAAACCTAAGACTCAATGTATATTATCCCAACCTTTCTACCACTAGGTCGACCGTGTTTTATGTATGGTATTTAAATAAGTAAAATTAAAATTTTGTAAAAAATACCATTTATAAAAAACTTTTATATAATCTATTTTTAATTTCATGTTTTATAAGTAATACAAATATTTTTATTTGTAGATTATTATATAACATTATAACATTTATTAATATTAAATTAATAAAATTAAAAATAGTTTGATGGAGTTTTTTTATAAAAACAAAAAATAGTTAGCTTTTGATCAATACAAAAACTAATTAAATTACAAATGAATTAAACAAACAAAATTCAAGTTTTATTATATTTGGTTAAAATATTTTTCTTATTCTATGTGAAATGAAAGTTTTAATTTTGATGTTTGCAAAACATTTTCCTTGTTTTTCATTCTTTTAAATTTTAAATTTATTATTTATTAATTATTTTCAAAATTATTGCTTTAATTCATATTATTTTTTAACTATTTAAATATTTATCTTAAGGTTAAGTGATTATGGCATGTGACACTCAATTTATGATAACATGTCAATATGTGACACCTCTGAAAGTTATAAGATGATCTAAGTGGTATAAGGGAGAGACATAGGACTAGAGTCATAAGGAGAGACTAGTTCAAATCCTTAACTAACATAATTCATTAATTATTACCTTTGTTGGTAAAAAAATGCGATACCTCTAAAAAAAATTATATATTTTTTAAAATAAATATTATTTATTTATTTATCTCTATATAAACAAAAATAATAACTTTAAAATTCTAAAAAAATAAAAGAAAAAATATTTTACAAGAACTAAAATTAAAATTCATTTATTTTTAAGAGCCGAAAATAATAGTTATTAATTTAAAGAGATGAAAAAATAAAAATATAATGATGAACATCAAAACCCTTATTTTACATAAACAATAAATATATTTAAGTGATTTCATTCTATCAAATTAAGTTCAAGTTCTTAAAAAAGTGTATTAAATTTGTGGAGGCAGTTACATACAGGTGCAGTGATGTGAGTGGTGAGTTGGCGTTGGCATGCCATGGAAAAGCCATGTCACTAACCATTGAATCACAATGGGACCCATTTTGAATGATGGCACATGAATATCTCCATCATCACCATCACATGATGAGGTCATCATTCATTCCGATTCCGCGAGTACAACTCCCAGCGCGTGATTCTCTTTTTTACACATTCAACAGTCAACCACACAAAAAAGCGGCTTTTCCTTCTCAACTCAACTGAACACAAACCACATTACTCACTAATAGATAATAATCAAATTTATCTCTCTTTAATTGCATGTTATTATTATAAAAAAGAAATAGTGTAACAAAAAGATAATCATGTTATTAATATAAAAAATAAATTTTAAGATACTTTTTATTATTTGTATTAATTATGTATCATTTATATATGCAGGTTAATGTATCTAATTTAATTTATATGCAGTAAAAATATAAAGTTTTTTTATATTGTTCGTTAACTAGAAATTATTATAACTTATATTTTAGAGTAATTATCAAAATAAAATATTATTTTTAATTAAAAAGGAACATCTATACTATTTATAATGATATATATTGTTTTGCTATTAAAATATTAATTTGTACATTTTTTATTAAAAACATATTTTAACATAAATTAATACTTAAATTTTTTTTTGATTTGATATTATATATATATTTTTTAAAAGGAGCAATTTTATTTAAGTTAAATACAATTAATATATGATAAAATTTTTCTTTAAAAAATTTAACATAATTATATATTTAAACTATGAATATGAAATCACGTATTAAACTAAAATAATTTCCCACAAATTCATCATAGTGATAGCTAAAAATAACTTGTTTTTTTAACATAGTCAAAACTAATTAAGACTGGTCTTACTTCAATTTAATATCTTAAAACTGATTCTACTAAAATTAATGTTATTCAACCATGAAATAAACAAACCCTAAATTGGGTCAGTTACTTATGATCCGATTAAGATTTAACCTTGGTCAATAAATGATAGTTGAACCATGGTTAAAAGACAACCACATCACTTGGACTTGGAACTTTGAAGCATCCAAAACAAATGAAACACATGGAAGGAGTGCAGGTAAAGTTGGGTTGGACAATGTTGATAGTAACTATTTGATATGATGATTGAACCAATTTGGCCCTCTGACACAAGTCATCATTAACTCTATGCCTATTTACTCTTTCTCTATCCATCTATCTCTTTCACCACACTCCTCATAGTATCTATCTATATATATTATTTATCTCTTTCTATCCTTTTATTGTTCTGCAAAAAGCTACTGCCACCAAAGCCTACCCCATTTTGCTCTTCCCTTTCACACACTCCAAACTCCAACAGAACTCTAACTTTGGTGAGAAGGGAAAAAAAAAAAAAAAGCAACAATGGATGAAAAAGATGATGATGGGTTGAGTTTAGGGTTGAGTTTGAGGCTGGGGTGTGGAGAAAATGAAAATAGTCATCATTCTTTCAACATGCACAACCCTCCTCAATCGGTTTCAAACCAAAGAGCTTCTTTCAATAACTTGTTCCATTTTCATGGTAATTTTTTTTTTATCTCTCCATTTTTCTAATGTTTTTTTACATTCAATTGTTCACGCCTTTTACTTGTTCCATTTTCATGGTATGTTCTTTTTATTTATTTAATTTTCATTCAATTTGTCATGGTATTAACTTGTTCCATTTCCATGGCTTTTAGATTCCTCCGAATGTTTATTTATTTATCCACATGAAGAAAAATCACTTCTTTCTTATTTTTAAACATTTTTGGTTTTTCTCATTTTTCTCTTCATGCTACGATCGAAGAACACAACCCTTATATTTTTCGTTTCATACATTTCTGGCTCAAACTAACCAATTTCCCATTTTGGACGAAAATCATGCATTGAGGAACACGTGTTTTTGGAATTTTTTTTACTAGAAAATATTTTGTTGCTACCAAACTCAGCACGAGGAATGCGAATATATATATATATATATATATATATATTAATTTATGGATTAAATCTTATTTTGTATTTGGAAACATCCTTCAATTTTTAATTTTTATGTTAATTACGCGTTTCCCCCCGACTCACGTGCGTCTCACGTGGCAGATCGGAGCTCCGAAATGTGTTCGCTCCTCCGTGGAATAGACGTGAACGTGGCGCCGCCACTGTCGTCAACGGAGGCGCCGCCGGCGTGCGACGACGAGAACGGCGTTTTGTCGCCGAACAGCACTATATCGAGCATCAGCGGGAAGCGGAGCGAGAGAGAGGTCAACGGAGACGAGAACGAGAGGGAGTCGTGTTCTCGCGGCGGCGGAAGCGACCAAGACGACGGTGACAACGACGGCGACACTTCGAGGAAGAAGCTGAGGTTGTCGAAGGAACAGGCATTGGTGCTTGAAGAAACATTCAAGGAACACAACACCTTGAACCCGGTGAGTTAAGGGTTGGGTAATGGCATTTGTGTAATTTCAACCGCAATGAAGGGCATTTTAGGAATTTCGTTTTGTTTTGAGCTTGTTGTCATTTAGTGCTTATGTTAAAGTCAAGGTTTTAAATGCTTTTTAGGAATTTCGTTTTGTTTCGAGCTTGTTGTCATTTAATTCTTTTGTCAAAGTCAAGGTTTTAAATTGCTATTTTGAATGCAAATTTGTTGTGGTTCTTGTTGTTACTGGAAATTGTGAGTGAATGTGGCCATACTTGTGGTTGTGACTTGTGATGATCCAAAAACTGAATGCCTTACTTTGTGGCTGACAATGAGATCACTGAAAATTGAATACCTTACTTTCCTGTTGAAATTTTGGTCATTTGAAAACCGAACATCTTACTTTCGGGTTGAAAACATCTTACTTTGTGGCCAAAATTGTGGTCATTTGGAACCAAACACCCAACTTTGCGGCCGGTGGCCATGTTTTAAGCCTGAGTAAATTCTTCAAACAAATGAAAACAATACTTATTTTAGCTCACTTTCTCCTAATTTTATATAATTTTACTTTAATGTCCCATTTTGCAAAAACTCATTTAAGCTTTTCTGTTGAGTTTAGTTTCTATTGAGTGTTTGTATAAAAAAAATTCATGGTTAATCAATGAGAAATCATATGATGTGATGAGGATGACTTTTAAGGTTATTATTGTAATAATAAAAAAGTCAGTATACCATATACGGCAGTGTATGATTAGATGCTAGTGTAAAATTACTTTACATTGTTGGTGTGTTGATTACTACCTCTTTTATTTTGTACATAATAACAATAAAAACATGAATAAATAATGTGTATGGTGGATTGATAGTGTAAAATGTTTTTACATAGTTATCCAATCACAAATTGTCTTGTGCGTATGAAAAATTTGTTAGACCTTTACAATAATTAGCCTGAAAGTCATACTTCTCATAATTTCTTATTGGTTTATAGTGTAAATTTAGACTAACATGCATAGATATTTTTACTCTATGTTTATAATTTCAGCTACTAAAGCAAACTACGTTAATTATTTTTAGATTTGTATGAGGTTTATTCTAAATTGTATATTTATATGTGTTTTGCAAGTATAATTCAATGCTGGCATTTAGTCTCAAGTTACTATTATTATATATGTAGAAACAAAAGCAAGCTTTGGCAAAGCAGTTGAATCTGAGGCCTAGACAGGTGGAGGTGTGGTTTCAAAATAGAAGAGCAAGGTGAGTGAGGTTTCTCAAAATTGGCATTTTTGTACATAATCATTATTATGTAATAAATATTGTGCTGTGGCATTGTTTATTGTCCTTTAAGTTTCTGTAACATATATGCCCCACTATGTTTTTATCTATTTGGAAGGATTTGTTGTTCCTCATCAATGTCACTCTTCTTGAAAACTTCAAGCATAGCTCCAACATCAATAATTGGATTTGACCCATTTGAGAGTGATCAATAAGTAATAACACAACTTTCGTGAGACATGAAAACATATAAAGTTGTAGATGATTTAGATGAAAAATTTGAAATAAAAACATGGTCACACATGCATATGCTTGGGCCCATGCACACACAAACATGTAGTATGATGATGAATTTTGAAGTCAAAATTTGGAATCTTTGGTGGTTCATTCAATTTTTATGAGTTAATAGAAGAGCTTAAATTTCTAACATTACAATGATAAATTGATCAATGGCAAAAAAAAAAAAAAAAACTGATGCGGTTTTGTTGTTGTGTTGTGTGTCATGAGATGTGTTACTTTGTCTTCCATTGTGTAATGAAAGAAGAAAGTGATGTCAATGTTGTCTTGGATTTAATCAATGCAGGACCAAGTTGAAGCAAACTGAAGTGGATTGTGAATACTGGAAGAGGTACTGTGAGAATCTAACTGAAGAGAATAGGAGGTTGCAAAAGGAAGTGCAAGAGCTTAGGGCATTGAAGTTATCACCACAGCTCTACATGCACATGAACCCTCCCACCACTCTTACAATGTGCCCTTCATGTGAGCGAGTTGCCGTCTCATCTGCATCCCCTTCCTCATCGGCCATCACACCCTCTGACCCGCCAGTGGCAAATCGCAACCCATTCGGCCCTGCTGTCCAGCGGCCGGTGCCTGTCAACCCCTGGGCGGCAATGTCAATTCGACGTCATGCCCCGCCATGATTGATCACTCTTATGGTCATGGTCCTGGCAGTAGTGTAAAAGTTCAGGATGGAATTAAGTTACATATTAGTTGCACTAGACAGAAATGAACCAATGAAATAGGAATCTTATGTGTTGGTTTTACTTGCTAGAACTTTATGTCACAGTTTGGGAAATTCTACTTGCGCCTCCTTTTTTCTGGAAATTAGTTTTTGGAATGTAAAAAGTGAAAATTGGGGATTGTGAAAAAAAGAAAGAAAAAAAAAGGGAGTGCAATTAGAATTTCCTTCATGGTTATTAACTCTAATTGTCTTGGCTTATTTTATTTTGGGCCTAGATAGCACATGTTTTGGTGAACTTTAGGATGTGTAAAGTTTGGAAATGTTAAAAGTAGTTAGTATTTTGATATGTTGAATAGTTTTTGTTAACCTTGGAAAGATTGAAAAGGGGATGGAATGTGGTTTTATTTTATTGTGTTTTGTTTCCTTTAGATAGGGTTTGTGATGCCACATGGTGAGAAAAGGTGGTGAGTGTGGTCTCAATTAGAAATGATTTTGTCTCTCTTTTGTTCTCTCTTTTGGTCTAATATGGTTGGACATGGGGTTGAGTGAGTCAGACTGTGGGACACAACTTTGGCTGCTTGTGAAGTTGATTCTCCTTAAGATGTGGATTTCCAATACCATTTGACACATGAAGTGATGGTGAATGTGAGTGGTTTGCACTTGCATCATCACGTGTGCCTTTGAAAGTAAAGTTTTTCAAAGGCAGCATGGGCCACATGCCCCATCGTAGCATATTGGAACATTGGCCAATGATGTTTTTAAGCGTCTCTTTTCTGGAAATGGGTGATTCTTGCTTTATATTTTTCATTATCAAATTTTTTGGTGGATAAAATCTATGGAGAGGGAATTTCACGGTAACAGATGTTACAGCGACATGGGTAAACTTGTTCTTTTAAGAGGTTGCTTTTAGCATGAATTGAGCCAAAGAGTTTCTTGTGCCCCTTTGTATTTTATGAAATTTGTATGCAAAGAGTTTATCTATGTGCCATGTGCTGTGTTATTTGATCTACTAACATCCCTTCAACTATTTTTTGCTTTTTATGGTTACTTTGGTTTCACTTTATTTTCTTTCTAACTCATTTTTACTTTTTTGGGTTTCACTTTAATTTCTTTCTGACTCATATTAGCTCATTTGTAAAAATAAAAAACCAAGGAGTTCCTTCCAGGTACTTATGAACATTCGCATTTTTGTTACACTAAAGTGTATAGATAGAATTTGCATTTCTTCTTCAACAACAAAAAAATATCGCATTTCACGTTACAACCTGTTGATTTTTATAAAATAAAAAAAAATACAACTGACTATTTTTTAAGTAAGAATAAGAAAAAACTTCCAAATTTTATATCCAAAAGTCGTGAAAAATGAAAGCCCAGCGAAGTTTTGCACTCGCGTGTTGTATATTTGTATTCTTTCTAAAACAAAGTAACAATGTTTTATACTAATTAAGCAAATGTTGTAGTAATGGTGAAAGCATATTTTCATTTTCTATTCCTTCGAGTTTCTAAATTATATTTATAATATGTACCAGATACATAAGTAATTTCCTCATTTTAATTCTCTTTCTAAGTTATCATATTCTTACCTATACCTTTTATAATACATTTAATAGTCTTCAAATATATCTGTCCGAGGAGGAGAAAGAAGATACTTATAAAAGATACTCCAATGTTCAAGTTAGTCTTCAGGACCAGATAAAAGAATAACAATTAATCAACTAATAATGTAAAAATACCTTTTTATTTCTCTAAACATCATTATTTATACTAATCTTATTGAGTCTGGGTTCATAGGATAAACTTATTAACGATTATTATAACATTTTTAATAATTCTTTAGATTTTATTAATCACCGAAACATACCAAGAAGTCATCGACTTTTAATCTTTGGTATATAATTAATTTTACACTATTAAATATATATATATATATATTATATATATATCATACTAATTTTGCCTTCTTTTGAAGTGATATAAATTTGTTGTTTTTTTTTTCATGCGAAAGAAAACAAAAGAAGATTACAAGAGACTGTCTTTCAATAGAAGGGTAGATATGCTTTGTAAAGGATGTTCCCAATCGTTATTAGTGTTACGTTTTGCACAGAAGTCAGGCCGGTTTAAAGTATTATCTAGCGTAATCTAAAATAAATTGATACCTTAAAAGAAAAAAATGAATTTAAAAATTAATAAATAATTTAATAGTTAAAAGAAAATTATTTGAACAAAAATATAGTCAAAGAATGAATTTAAAATTAAATAACTTACAATATTGATTTAAAATACTTAGAGAGCAAAATTAAAAAGTTGGAAACATGAAAATTTGAAATTTCTGATGTGTATCTAAAATCAAACTATATATGCATTTAACATTAAAAAGGCTCAGTTATAATTATATTAAATATACACCATTGAAAGATTAATCCGTAGTTTTGATTGAGCGATACTTTACCAAAAAACTTAAATATACACCATTGATAAGGAGTTGGTCTAGTCGAAGAACTTAGTCTTCCACAATGTGATGAACAAATACTTGAATCCTTACTAAGAGAATCGTCCATACTTAGTATTTGATTGTGTTCGAACAAGGATTAATTAAATTAAATTACGAACAAAAGAAAAAAAAAAGTCAAATTAAACTAATGTTAAAAATTTACAAGAAAAACCTTTCATTCATAAGTTTTATGTCACTTGATCTACATTGAAGAATACTAGTAACATTTTATTTTATCAAAGGTTCATTAATTGAAAATAGCCAACGACCCTTGCAAAGCACATGATGCTTAGAAAGAACAACAAATCCAAAATATTTTAGTAATCTTAAACTTAACACTTCAAACACAATAAAACATAGTGTTTTCACATACTTCACTTACAAAGAAACCTTGATAGAGTCTTGGGCTTTTCTGTAAGTTTTTTTTTTTGTGGATATTCCTCAATTGCAACTGGTATTGAGACAACCGAAAACAACCCACAACAAATCTGAGTAGTGTTGGGCTCGCATAAAACCAACAAATTTGAGTAGAGTAATATTGTCCAAGTAACTTTGATAGTTTGGGTACAATTCTAATCCAATAAATGAAAAGCAAAAAGTGAGAGAAAAGGGATAGTAGGAACCCTCATGTTACTGTTATCATAAACAACTCTAAACACCACTGAGTAACATACTTTTAATACACTCCTTTTTAACACATTTTTTTTATTTAAAATCCACGAGTCACATATTATTAAGACTCACATAGACTTCAACTAATATAAACAAGTGTGTTATGGCTGTACTGCTAACACTCCTATGAATGCTTATCATGGAGATACCAATAATCCAAAATGAAAACATCTTAGATTAAGATTTTTTTTACTTTTATTTCCAAGTTTTTTTTTTTTTTTTTCAATTTCAACTCTTCATCATCACAAGAAGGGGGTTCCTTTTTTGGGGTTACTTTTTGATCTATCAGAATTACATGAACGACACTAGAATTCAAATTTAAGACTAACTTTCAGCACAAGACTGATTCTAATAATTTTTAAGAAGAAATTACTTTAATGTCCAGACACAATTTTAATGACTTGGACCGTTGAATTTTTAATATCAAGCAGATTTTGACTCGTGTATTGCGGCTAATATTCATTTTCTATATAATTTTAGTTTAAATACCAAACAAACTTCACTTCACTTCACCGGTTGTTAATACTACTTTTCATCAACAAAATTCTAGAAAGATGCGAAATTCCATTTCACAGTTTTGCAATGGTCACCAAAATATTACTTCAAAGCCACTAGTTACATCATTGCTTACCAAAATTTTATTTCACAGCATTTCACACTTGTAATTTTTTTTTTTTGTTTTCCTTCATTGCTAACCGAAAGTTTTTGTTTTAGTTGATGATTATATGGGTATTGAATTGTTAGAGGCTCATTTAGAAAATTCCTCTTTTGAAGGCATGTACTAAAATTAATGGTAGAGAACGATGTTTGCCCCCACTTTCTTTAATTTGTCAAGTGCAGACAATTTCGCTCTATTGAACTGTTATTGTTACAGTTTGTTTGTTTAATTTAACAGCTGGATTATGTACAGATATGTTTTGGTGTAGTCTTTATTGAAAAATGCTCTCTGAAGTGAAAATGTCTATACAGTGCAAAGTACACTAGATTCTCCCTTTTGTCTTAATTGTATGAACCAAGTTTCAACCTTAAGCTAAATAAACATTTTAAGTCAAATGCTTTTGTACAAATACCAGAAGAAATTAGTTTCAGCAAATATATTTTCATTTCAAGTCAATGAGTATGTCCATCAATTTCTTTTGTTTTACAGTCCAGACATCAAACTGACATAAAGTAAAAAAGAAAAAAAAAATCACTTCTTGCATAAGAAGATTCTTAAAGTGAATTGGAAGATTGTATCTAATATAACAATGCGACATTTCTTATTTCAGCATAAAATTATATTGATATTCTACACTTAGCACAAAATTTTAAAGTATTTTTTTAATTAGTTGACAACATAAAATTCTTTATAATATATCAAATTTAAACTCTTAGTAATATATTTCACAGTTATATTGATGTTTTACACTTAAACCCAAAATAACTAGGGTCAATTAATCTGGCTTGGAAACTAGTACATATTTAGATAATACGGGAGCTGAGAAGGAAAAAGTTAGCCACAGGCTTCAAATTTAATTTGAAGTTAATCTTATGGTATGAGTTTAATTTCTGTACCATATATCTCATTATATTTGACTGCATTTTTACAAAATGTACTAAAATTTCTCCTCCAAAAGCAATTAAAAAACACTAGCTCAGGGGATTGGGAACCTAAGCTCAAGTATTTCACTGCATTGATTGCTATAGTCTTGCAAACACAAGAAAAATAGAAAACAACAAAGGAAAAGAACAAAACGTTGCAACTAAAAAGGCAGTTCAGAAATCAAACTAAATTTACAGTATCTGTCAGGTAACGTAGGATGCAACCTAGTCCTGCTTTCTCTGTCAATTTTTCATGAATCCGAAGGAAATGATCACATGTAGGACGATCTCCAGTAGCTAAGCCTCTATATAAGTACCTATGGCAAATACAAAACTCTTAGGACAGAAAATGATGGTGTAAGAATACCATTAGTTATCTACAATAGTTACTATAATATTGTTAAATACCATTAGTTATCAGCGATAGTAAATATAATATTGTTAAAAAAGACTCATTCAATGTCCATTTTGACTCTATTAAAAATCTAAAAAGTACAGAGGAAAGTGTTGTCAAGGTGAAGGATTTTAGACCTATCTGATTGGGCGCAAGAGTGAATAAGATCATAAAAGCTTATTCATGCTGGGGTTGACCACAATTCAAGGAGATACTATTGCAGCTCTATTGCTATCAGACTGTAGAGGATATTAGGTACAAGAAAG